AAGCTAGGGCAAACACCATCGTGATATAAAAGTGTCGTGGTAAGAACCAATTGTTCACCCAACGCTATCAGCACTCTCACCCACGCAGGCCCCCGCCCTGCCCTGCCCGGTCCGAGGCCAGCGCACCCAACATCGGCCGAGCTCGGGATGCTTTGGTTCTTGCACGTGGCTGCCCCAGCGGCGCCGGCAACCACCTCCACACTAGCCTTGACGCTCCTGCAGCCGCACATGAGCCATCCTTACACGTGTGCCAAATGCGCACGATGGATGCGGCTGGATGAGAGCATAACTAAAGCGAGTGACGAGCAGTTGCAATCCTTGTGCAATGCAGAAACTCATACTGCACCGTTATCAGAGGACCATTTTTCTCGCTGGGATATTCCTGTCGAGATAAAACAGGCATTTGTAGAACGCGCCAAGCAAGATGAACCTGCGCCTGCCGCATCTGACAGATATGCGGATGTGTTCTCTTCATTAGAGTCAAACTCAAAATCAGATACCCTGTATGCGCGATACCCCGTTTGTCACGAATGCGCAGTCAAGATTATTGCGACTATGGAGCTAGATCTCTCGTGTACATTTCACGAACGCGACAAACTCGCCTTGTTAGAACGCGAACTAGAACGACTCGCTCTTATCAAAGGAGATATGGAAATGTCTAGCGACGACAGGATGCGATGGAATCGCGACCAAAACCGGCTCGAGTGCGATATAGAGAAAATGCATCATGCGTGTGAAGAAACACGCGTGGCTCTGCGTAAGTTGGACGAAGAGAAGGAGCGTGTTCTGTATATGTTGAACGACATGGATACACAGTCGACTACGCTGTTGAAAGAAGAAGAGGCTGTGTTCCACGCGTGGAATGAACAAGTTGCTGAGTTCGAGCAGCTCGCTTGTGAAAAGGAACGGTTAGATGCGAAACTGACTGAGGAGTCTCGAATTTTGTCTAATTTGACCGATGCAAATGCGTATACGGATGCATTCTCTATCGAAAAAGATGCTTATGGTATGGGCATGATTAATGGACTCCGTTTAGGTCGATTTAATGCATCTAGACCTCCTCAAGACCAAGTGACTTGGACAGAAATAAACGTGGCGTGGGGCCAACTGGCACTTCTTTTCAACCTGCTGTGTCGTAAGCTCGGATACGAAAATCGTACGCATAAGATCCACGCCCGAGGTGCACAAAGCACCGTAGAGCGACTAGCGCCTGAACATGCTGAGTATGAATTGCATGCGACGAGTGAATGGCATGTTGGGCGTTTATTTCATTCTCGCAGGTTTGACTGCGCTATGGAGGCTTTTTTAATGTCCGTGCAGGACTTATATATGCACGCAAAGTCTACAATGGATCCTGCGCTAATGTTGCCCTACTCGTACGTCGAGCTTATCACTTACATTGCAGCATTCAACATGGTCGGATTGGCGGCGTGAGTATTCGCTTGCAATTCAACCAGCCGGCCTCTTGGTCACTTGCGACTAGCCGGCTCCTCGAATGGTGCGTTTCTCCAATGCTCACTCAGCCTTCAACACCTCCTCAGCTGGACGTTGAAGCGCGAAGCGCGTTAGGGTCTGTCACGTGATCTATAGCTCACGTCTTCGCAGACGATCGAAGATGTGTGTATGTATTTTATTTGCTTGCCACACCATTCACGGTAGTCACTCGTTGGTTGCATAGAAGCTACGATGTTAGGCGAGCACACACCTGCTGCTGGGCACGATAATATGCGTGACCCATGCCCATGGGTCATCTTGAATGACTTTGGTGGTGCCTTTTCCATGGGCTGCATCGGTGGTGCCATCTGGCATGGTATAAAAGGCGCTCGTAACTCACCGCGCGGTGAACGTATGCTTGGATCCATTGCGGCCATCAAGTCTCGTGCCCCAGTACTCGGTGGTAACTTTGGTATTTGGGGTGGCTTGTTTCAAAGCTACGACTGTGCTATTATATCCATTCGGCAAAAGGAGGACCCTTGGAATGCGATTCTCGCAGGATTCTGCACCGGCTCTACTCTCGCTATTCGTAGCGGACCAAAGACGGCATTTGGTGCAGGTATTATGTGTGGTATCTTGTTGGGTGTCTTCGAGGGTGTCGGTGCAGGCATTAATAGTGCCATGGCGAATTACAACAAGCCGGTGGCACCCGTGATTCCAGATGCCCCACTGGGTGCACCATCGGGCGGTGTTTCATTGACCCAGTAAACCTGCAATTGTGATTACGGCCGTCCCATGTATTGCATGGATCACACGGACTCCTTGTTTTGCACAAGCGCATAATATGACCATTGCGCCGCACCTATATCCAGGGGGTAGTTCATACCATGGAACTGCACACGGTGTGCTTCTGTAGCAAACCTTGTTTCTGTATCACCCCGTTTTGTAGACCACACAGACCCATCTTCGAGTAAGAATATACTGACATCTGTGGCACATGCCATTGACGTTACGTTGACCAGGTCAGGTCCATGGCCCACGTCAATCGGTTCGGGTAGAGTATGCCCATGAGACACACTCCATCCCCAAAAGTAGCAGTCCCCATCTGAGGTGAGAGCCAGCGAATGGCGGTCGCCGCACACGACGCTGTGAATACTTGCAGGAAATCCTTCATCCCGTGAAAAAAAGGATAAGCCATGCAAGCCTTTACTCGGTACATAGATATCACCAAGCTGACAAAATCGATTGTCCCCGTACGTATAGATAGGTAAGGATGCTTGCGGTGCAAACAGCACAAAATGAGAGCCACCAGCAAAAACACGATCCAAAGGCGGCAGGTTGGGTGCAGAAAGGTGAAGTGCATTTATGCCTAGCACCATTTCATTCAATGTACGGAACAAAATTGCCTTTCGTTCATTTGATATGGCAATGATGCGACCTGTCTTATCCATGGCGGCATGCTGCCAGGTGGTCTGTCCGCATCGCGTATTGGAAAATCCCAAGCACAAATATCCATCTTCGTCTAGACATGCTTCCACATAATCTTGTCCCAAAATGGCACGTGGGTTAGTCCATGGTACTGAGTGTCGCGTTGGATTCGAGTCATGACCTGGCATGTAGCCATACAGGTACATTTGCCCATGCAGTGTATACAATACCTGAGTGGCTGTCACACAAACGATGCGCTCTGCATTATCGATAGCGACCGGTTCTGCTACTTGCAGAACAGACAAGTCTTGACCCAGCTGTCCATGGAGATTTGAGCCCCAGCCTACGAGCTTGGGTGGCATGCATGCAAGGCACTTGCTGATGGTTGGTCTGAGCGAGTCGCCCGATATAGCAGCCCGATGCTGTTCCTCCATCTAAAAGGGCCAAAGTCATTTGAAGGCCCTGCCTTTATAACATGCTCCTGAGACCTTGCCGCTGCGTCCTCCCGGCAGCTATAAGCGCGCAACGAGCGCTGGCTCGCCTTTTTTCGTCACGCTCTGTAGTGGACGTGCTCGAGTCGCGTGGGATGGTCCACGCGATGACATCGCGAGCTCTGAAGGAGCACTTGTCAACGACAGATGACTTTGGTCACCATTTGTCACGAACCATTTATACTGGTGTGGATCCCAGCGCCGCAAGCTTACACGTTGGTAATTTGCTCCCCCTTGTCGCCTTGCTTCATTGTGCGATACATGGACACAAAGCTCTTGTCTTGGTACGTAAGCTTGAACTCACACCTAGATCGGTGGCGCTACGGGAGCCATTGGCGATCCATCAGGACGCCAGTCAGAACGATCTGCATTGGCATCTGATCAGCTAAAAAGAAACGTGAATAATATCCGCGCTCAAATGTATCAATTTTTTCATAACGCGGCTGCCTATCTAGCACGGCGCAAACTTCTTAGTGCGAAGCCGCAAGATTTCATATCAAAGGGATACCACGCTCAAGCTGAGCCTTTGTTTCAGGATACACTTGATGTACAATTGATTAACAATCTTGACTGGTTCCGCCACATTCACCTTCTTGATTTCCTATCCAGTGTAGGTCGTTTTGCTCGTGTGAATGATATGCTGGCGCGTGATAGCGTCAAATCACGTCTTACATCTCAGAATGGCGCTACCGCTCCTGGACTTTCATTCACTGAGTTTTCTTATCAGCTAATGCAGGCATACGACTTTAGTTACCTGCACGATAAAAAGGCGTGCTCTGTTCAGCTCGGCGGGTCTGATCAGATGGGAAATATCATGGCCGGTATCGATTTGATTCGACGGCAACGTGCAGAACAAGAAAAAGGTAAGACGAACGATCCAAGCATGCGTACGGATCCAGCGTATGGACTCACATTACCCCTCTTGACGACAGCCTCAGGGGCCAAGTTTGGCAAGAGTGCAGGTAATGCTGTTTGGGTCTCAAGATCCATGCTTTCGGACCTTGATTTTTACCAGTACTTTGTTCGAAGCTCAGATGCCGACGTGGAGCGCTACCTATTGTCTCTTACTTTGATGAGCCATGAAGAGATTGCGCAGGTCATGGCCCAGCATGCGGACGACAAATCCAAGCGTTTTGCGCAAACACGTCTAGCTGACGAAATGACTGAGCTTGTACGTGGGCAAGAGGCATGCCAACGTGCTCAATTGGCAACCAAGCTGCTCTTCAATACCGACGTGCAAGAACTCACACTTGATCAAGTTGCATTTGCGTTCCAAGATGACCCCCGCTTGGTGTACCTGGATGAGGAGCCATCAGGCATTGCGGCATTGGCGGCTGATATTGGATTGCTGCCTTCCCGAAGCGAAGCTCGCAGGCTCGTGCAAACACGTGGTGGACTTTATGTAAACGGCGTCCAAGTCACAGATGCGTATGCGAAACTGGAAAGGCAACATATGATTCAAGACCGCATCATTGTGATGCGTGCCGGTAAATCGAATCATAAAATCGTTGTATGCCCTCCTATAGCGTAAATGTGGCACATTAGGTCGTTTGACATGCTACATCAGAGCTTTGGTGAAAGGGGCGGCGTGTGACCTCAACGACTCGGTTTCAAAAAGGTAATACCTTTCATATCGTGACACTTTCAGCGGCAATCGTCTAGTGGTTTAGGATCTCACCTTCCCATTTGCCAGTAGTGGCACGCGTCGACGCGTGGAATCAGGTGAGGACGGGAGTTCGAACCTCCCTTGTCGCATACTTTTTAGCAAGTAGCATCTGCACATGCTATAGTTTAGCACCATGCATGTAACGCTGGAGTCGTTCCTGGAGGTCAACTGCTTCTTGTTCTTCCAGTTCATCTCGTCGACCCGGTATGTTGGCTTTGGGTGGCTTATTCCATTTTGAAAGGATGGAGGATGAATCCGTGATGGCAGGCACGATGTGAAAGTGGACCTGCGGTCAGTGAATTGTACGCACATGGTTTACGACTTGCGCATAGTCTTGGTTAGCAGCCACTTGCAAGCCTGTGGCGCCAAAAGCTGCACCCTGTCAATGGTATCACAACATACCTTTCTTCATAGCACGTGCGACACGTACAACGCCATGCATCAAAGCAGCTGATTGTTCTTCACTCATATCTGATAAGTGTGAGACATGGGCTCTGGGTACGACAAGAGTATGACCTGGTGTAAAATCATTTGTCACATACCAGCTCGAATAGGTAGAATATCTAGGAAGGCCAAGTACATATCTGTCTCCGCAATAATGTAGGCTTCTTTATTCCCAGATACTATATCACAAAATACACAGTCATCTGCTTCATACCGCTTGTCATGTTGGTTCACACGAGCTAGGAATGGTGTCGTCATGACATGAGCTCAAATTGCAACGCGTTAATTTCTCCACAAACCCATTGGACCTCGATGAGACAGGCCAGCAAAGTATCATGACGCCAAAACCTACGCATGACATTATGCTATATAAACATAGTAATCCGACAACGGAAGCTTATGGCTTTTCGCTAGCCATGGTAGCCTCAGTGATATGGGTTCTATGGATTTTGTGGGCCATACTGCCAGAGTGGCTGTTGATCAGCTTGGGTATCCGATGGTTCCCGAATCGGTGCGTTGAAGGCGCTTACCATGAAGTGACTGGGCTTATTTATTACCTGCATGGAGTATCATGCTTTTTCTATTTATTTATGTGGGTTTTGTCTCTTGGAATGTATTTCAGACGCCACCTATGCATGCGTTGGAGCTCGTGGTTGGTATGTAAAACTCTATTGACATCAAGACCAGCATGCTGTGTTGTATACACGTCCATTGACGGAAGAGGGAGAGCATCCTTTGCAAAAAGATACACTTCGAGACATCACGGATATGCATGGGCCTCTGAGTGACGATGTGTATGATGTATCTCCGGGTCTCATATCGCGAGCCAGGTATCTGAATCGATGAAAAATTATATCGAAACCCGTCTAGAGTTTCCTAAACCAGGTACATGACTTTTATGTTGCATTGACATGCACATTTCCAATTCGCGTGCTTGCGATGCCAATAATTCGCGCCGCGCTTCCATTTTTTTCTTCTCTTGATACAATAGTTCAATGCGGGTCGTGAGGCTTTCATATGCGTTGCTGGTATCGTGATCTCTTATATGCTTTTGCGCTTCCTTGACCCGTTCCATGCTTTGCATTTGTAGATGCAGCAAAGATTTCAGCATGTCGTTCTGTTTTGTGCGCGCATCATATGCATCTTTGTACCATGCCATTTGATGCAATTCTTCCATCAATAATTGCTTTTCTGATTCGAGCAGTTCGACGCGCTTATTTAAGTCCACCATCGATACTTCTTCAGTCTTACTGCGTCTCTCAGCAGAAAGGGCGCTGAGAACTTTAGTGTGCGTAATCTGAGTATGAGAAAGGGTCTTTTCAAGCCATTCACAACGCACAGCCAGCGTTTCATACTTGATCGTGTGCCACAATGCATCCGACTCGGCGAGGCACAGTTTCCATGCATTGGTGCACGCCTCATCAGAATGCATATCGGCCTCGAAGGAAGACAGGGTATCTTGGTTGGTGGCCTGGTAGTTATTTTGTTCAGATCCAGTGACATGTTCATAGGCTTCCTCAAGCAAACAGCTCAGGGCATTCCTTTCTGTCAACAATTCATCCACATGCTCTTGCATGTCACGCAAAAGATCTTTCTGCTCCTGAATTGTAATTTCGTGCGACGAAATGACACGTCGTTGTGCTTCAAGACAACGTGTCGCATCAAGCAGGGTTCGAGAGTGGGCATCCCTTTCATGGGCCCAGTCAGCAGCGATTTGTGTTACGCATTGCATCTGCTTCGCACCCTTTTTATGAATATTTGCAGATAAAGTGGTCTGCTCGAGCTTGAGGTCATCCAGCTCGCCCGTCAACTCGATGCATTGTAATGCATACTGTGTTGCTTCATCCTCAGCACGATGTAACTGGGCGATTACAGCATCTTGCTCTCGAGCTAACACGCCTTTTTGTGCTTCAATGCGACTGTATGTAGAAGCTCGATCTTTGTACCGTGAATTTAGTGCTTCGAGTTTATCGATTTGAGCTTTCAGCTTGAGTTCACGTTGTTTGCCGAGCTGGATTTGCGTATTCATATATTCCCGTTCGTTTATGAGTGCGTGCTTTTCATGACGGAGATTATCCAGCTGTACAAGCACATCCTTAGATGTGCGATCCGTAAACTTTTGTTGTGGCGTAATATTCCCATGCTGCGAATCGCCAAGCACTCGCGTAAGGCTAGGTCGAGGCGTTAGAGACACGCGATTAGGTTTACGCAGAACCGGCAGGTGCGATCCTGGAGTATGTGGCACACGATTAGGAGCTGTTTTCGGTGTAGCGAACAAGCTGGATCGCGAGCGCTCTGGCGTTTCGGGTGCGCCCCGCGACATGCCAACGTCTTCGTCACCCAGTAAGTAGTGTTGGTGTCTTACGCGTTTCGTGTTTGAACATCACGTGAAAAATCTGGGGTATCTACGGGAAACGAGCTTCACGTCGAAGAAGATGGTGTTGAAGCACGGACGGTGCAGACGATGTCGTTGACAGCTGATGAGACGGCAGAGTAGTTTGAGAGTTGGAGTATTTCGATGAGCTGCTGCGTCTTCGACGATCGAGTTGACCGCGTCCACCTCGCGTATGCTGCCACTGTGGCTCATGGCTGTATTCTTCCAGCAAACGCGCGCGCTTTTCCAGCATGGGTTGAGTAAGGGATGCCTCGTCAATTTTGCCAGAGTGGAACAGCACACGGTCTTCATCGTCCGAGTCGGCCGGATCCATGGCGGCCGACTTGGGCTGGCGAAACGACAACTTGAGTGGGATGCTGTCGGTTTCGTTCTCCTCCAAAGGTGCCGATCCGCCTTGCGAGCGCAGCTGCTCACGCTCACGAAGTAGTTGTGCACGCACTGTATGGGCAGATACACGCTCTTCCTCGGAGCTTTCATCAGCCGTATGAAGAAATTCGTATTTATTCTGATCCTCCAAGGATGTGTGGGTCTCATTGTACGTCTTGACAAAAGCCTGAGCATCATCCCGATCAGCAAGAGCATCCATACCGTCGCCTTCCACGCAGCGGCGCTTCTTTGCAAAACGCGGGGCTTGTAAACGCCGACGCAATTCGTCTTCGTCTGCATCCTCGTCGAGCAAGTCAGCAAGGCCTTCATCACCACCACGACCACGGCGTCGGTGGCGGAGCAGACCCTTAGTGGCGCGCTCATGCAAGGCTTGTATCGCCGCATCATCGTCTTGGCGCTGCTGTAAGTACTTTTGGTGCACGGCATGATCTTTAGTCTCTTCATCCTGATCACTCTCATCGTCCAGCAAACTCGACAAGTCGGCATCATCCTCCGAACCTTCTTCGTCATCAGACGCCTGTTCCTTATCACTAAAAACGCCAGCCAAGCCTCCATGCTCCCCATTCTCGTTCTCCTCGTCTGATTCTTCTGCCTCGCCGAAAACAAAAGCAGAGTTTGGTCGTCTGCGAGAAGATTGTTTGACGCGCGTCTCTGTGTCACTTGGCTCCTGATCGCTTTCAGCCGAGTCGTGTGTATCCACTGGCTTGGTTTGTGTAAAAAATCCATCTTCGTTCAAGTACAGAATACCATTATTTTTTGGAGCTTGTTGTGCCTCTCGCCATATTTCTTCACCATGCTCTGCTAAGGATGGATCCAAAGAAGGTAGCATATCTGGTGACAATGGTGCCGCAGCTTGTTCATGCTCAGCATGACGCAGAGCGGCGAAGGCGTCCCCTGAGTGCGCTTTTGAGGTCGGCGGTGGCATGACTTCCTGGCTCTTGGAAAGAGATGGCGTTGCTGCAAAGAACTGTGTCATACCTCCCACAGGTCCAGAACGACGCTCGTTGGCGAAAATGTCGAGAGAGCCGCTGAGTTGGGGCTCTTGTGTGCCGCGTTCAAAAAACTGTGCCAGGACCGATGTATCGGAGCCTGTGCGCTCTATCGGGGCACCAGCCGGTTGTGTGGGTGCGAAAAACTTACCGAGATCATGATCGTCGTCTGACACGTTCGGCACGTCCAGCAAGGGCAACTCCGCAAGCGGTGTGGGCTCTGTGGATGCGTGCCGCTGGGTTGAGCGTCCAAGCGTCGAGATGGGGACGTTTTCCTTCTCTGATCCGCTAGGACTGGATGCGGAACTGGGGGCGGGCGACGGTGACAGCGCTTGGAAGTAGGCCTGGGCTGGTGCAGGCGTTGGCTCTTCATGTGCGGGTGCTTCTTGTGAACGGCTCTTTTTGGCAGTTGTTTCGGCGTTTTGTGCGTACACTTTCTGAAGCACAGTGGCGTTGAGTTCATCTAAACCCAGCATCGGCGGAAAGAAGGTAGCAGCACGATGTGGGCTCGTGCTGGATGGAAGAGTGCCTGCCTGTTGTTGTGCGGCGAGACCAAAGGTGTGGGCAGCCGCATCCATTTGGTCGTCAGGAACAGTCTCTGAGTCTGGCGCGTTGATATGAGGCGAGCGGTATTCGTTCGAGGCGATGCGCTTCCGGCGCGGCGTGCGTGGAAGCACGGAAAGGTGAGCCAGCGACTCGTCAGCAGCTTCGCGACGCTCGTCCCGACGAGGAGAGCCGTAGAAATGAATACGTGCTGGTTTGTGTACGCCAAGCGATACAACCTCAAGATCGCTCTCATCGTCCTCACTTTGGGGCATTACCGCTGCCTTCTGCCGCTCAATCCAAGCCCATTTCTTTTTCAAGCGTGCCTTGC